CCAGAATAGTCTGACATTTCTTTTTTTCTTTTTTTTCTCCTCTTTTTTTCATACTAATTTGTATTGTAGTAATGTTGGAAGACCCAACCGAAGTCACACTTTCTCTTGGGCAAATACAGACGCGAAGCCCTTGCTGCAGAGGCTTTGCCATTCAGAGCAGGTGAGACAGGCTTAGTGTCGTCTTCCCAGAAGCAGTGATGAATTGCAAGCAAAGGAGAGGCTGGAGATCCAGGTCTGATTTACGGCAGTAGCTGGATTCTAAGATGGAGTTTAGAGGGGGACAGAAGAAGGAAAAGGACTGGCACATACATCTCCACAGCTGTTGGCCTAAATAGGTGGAAATTGCAAAAGGCTAGCAGAGAAGGGGAAAACTATTGTGCACGAGCCATGAGAGTTAACTCTTCCTGGGTTTGGTGCCTTCTCCTCCTGGGTTTGGTGCTTTCTCCTTCTGGGTTTTGTGCCTTCTCCTCCTGGGTTTGGTGCCTTCTCCTCCTAGGTTTGGTGCCTTCTCGTTCTGGGTTTGGTGCCTTCTCCTGCTTTGTGGCTAGAAATGCCCAGCAGCATTCTTCCCTTGGTTGCCGACTGCAGGTTGGTGCATGGTTTTCTCCCTCCCTGCTTTGTGTTCTTCAACCTCAGGCTGAGCCAACTGTGTCCAGTCAGCTTTGGGGCTTGGGCCTCTCTTTCACTAGTCATAATCTGGGGTGCAATCAACCCAGTTTGACTTCCTTGAGGTTTTATTGCTCTTTGGTGAGTGGCTCCTGAAATATTGCTGAAGGCGCTACTTTATGGTTGACAGCTGAGGGGTGGGAGCTTGGCAGACGTGCACTCAGGTTCTGAGCTGGTTGCAGGTACCTGCTTTGTGATCCTCAGACACCCTTCAGAAGATTTACCAGGCGACCTTGTAGCTTTGGTGTGTGGCTCTAACGTGAGCATGAGTTAAGCTTTCAGAGATGAGGTTTCCTTGCTGATGTGACAGCTTGTTGTAGGTGTTTGTCTCCACGTGGACTTAAAGGGTGATTTTAAAAAGTCTGCTTTAGCTATTAGATATTGTTTGCTTCTAGTTTTTATGTGGAGTCTGTTTTCACTATTAGCTGCTCTACACGCTGGGGTTGGAAGGTAAAATATGTTTGCCTATATTGGCATTATGGAATTCTCTGCAGCGAAAGGAAACCTCTGGAATGTGCAAACAGGTACCAGGAGAAAGCTCTCAGCTGTCCTTTCTCTTTGAGAAACCCACAGTGTACTTGTCTCGATCCTTTGGGTTTTAATCTTTGAAAATAAAGGTGAGGTCTGCAGCGTGTTGAATTCTTCTTGAGTGTTTTTCTCTTTGTTCAGGCTCGGTGCAAACCCTTGAGTTGCTCTATTGATAATTCTCTAAACCTACTCTCTGTGAGTAGAAAGGGGAAAGGGACGTGGATTGGTTTTGCTCTCAGGCAGACCATGAAAATGTCATTGCCTGCTGGTCTGCTATAGCTATCTGAAAATCGAAATACCCTCGAGGGGATGAAACGATGGCTTATTTCTGGCTAGTCTGCTCACTTTTTTTTTAACTTCCTTGGCAAATACAGGTAAAAAAAAGTATTCCAAAAGAGTTGGCCTCATTTAAGAGTCCCAAGTCAGAGCAGGATTTGGTTTTGTGCCTATGCCAGCATCTCCGGGGGAAGAGAGATGTGGGGGGGACCTTCATACCCGAGGCTGCAGTGCCTGAGATGTCACTGGTTCTGACAGTGTTTTTTCAAATCCACAAGCAAGACATTCAATTTGCACCCTCTTTTTCATTTCTGTAAAATGACCAGCAAGGCCAACCCGGTCCATTGAGTGGAGAAAACATTCCCAGCCCCACAGCCTGGAAGTAGAAAACGTGGCATCTCGAGTCCTAGACTGGGTCACGGGTCCCTCGCTAGGTCAGGATCCTTTACTGGGACTCGTGTCACCACTCCTGCAGCTCTTCTGCGCACAGATGTCGCAACCTGTTTTTATTTGCTAAGCTGCTGAACTAACTGCAGAAATAACAGGCAAATCATCAGGTCCCCAGCAGCATTCCCAAGCTTTCCACTCCTCAAGAGCTTTTTATTTTTTTTCCTACTTTGTGATGTCTCTCTCTCCCCTTCTCTGACTCACTGGTTTATTTCTTTGCTTCTTGCTCTGATATCATAAATCCCAGCAAGGCATACACAAATCCGCCCGGGTTTTTTTGAACATTCAAATACACCCTCTGGCTTGGAAAGTCTGTGAGATACAGGCGCTCAGAAGCTGCAGGAATACAGCAGGGAAGAGCTTGCTGCATGTCGCCCTGTTCGGATGCTCTTCCCTCAGCATCTGTTACTGGCAGCTGCTAGACACAGGCTGGATATCTTGGTTTTTGTGCAGTGCAGCTCCTGCTAGGTTGGTGGAGTGGGAAGAAGGGGAAAAAAAACCCCAAACCCCACGTGTGCATGATGAGAATGTGAGTGCTTTAGAGCTAGGGGGTTTAGCTGCAGGAGGGATCTTCACCTGGAGGTTATGGCTGAGCCCTCAGGATGCTGGATGTGATTTCCAGCCCTTTGGAGAAGCGGTTTGCTCTCTCTGCACTTTATTTCTCGATCTGCACAAGGAGGCTGAGGATCCCTTTCTCTCACCCTTGGAGTGCTCTGTTTGCGTTGGACGCTTTTCAGATTTGTCACCACCTCCCATCTGTGTGAAAGACCTCTGGTGGTGCAGTAGTGAGAATCGCGATTCGTTAACGATGACGAATAAGTGCACATAACGGCTCTGCCGGGAGCATCAGGCAGATGTTCAGCATCTGGAATGACACTTGATGTGATTCAAACGGGGCTAGCAGCTGCTGTCAGCTTCCTCGCAAAGCACAGGCACCTCGATGGTCATTCCTGAATGTGAAATCACATTTTGTTCCTCCTGCCTCGTTCCGAGGACCGGCTGCAGCCTCCAGCCTGTCTAAATTCAAGCGAAATGGAAGTGGCTGTCAAGTGAGAACACGCGGGTGGGTTTTAGCACGTTGCTGATGTCAGGTCTGGTCAGGGAAAATGTTCCATTTCGATTACTTTAATATGCAGTAGGGCTGGTACTGACGTAGCTGCATGTAGCAAACATACTCAGGGCTTTATATAGGCTGGATATATCCACAGTCACAGATGGAAAAACTCACTTTAGGCTCTCACCCACTTTTCTCAGCTCTCAATGCAAATTTTCTCATTAGTTACTATCTTTCTGTGGGCTTTTTCCAGTGCAGTTTTAAGTTTTCGCACTCTGTCCTTTGGGTGAATCATTTTAATGAGCTTTTATTAAAAACACTTTTAGATCTGCGTCGGACAAAGCTATTTCCAAACATATTTAAGGCTTGATTACCTCTTGTTTCCTGGGGAAGGAACTAAAGCAAGGTAAAGAGAGAGAAATAAGGTGCTTTGTCAGGCAGCACTGGCCTGCAGCTCCAGGTAATCGTGCTTTCTCCATCAAGTGAGGAACTGGAAACATTTCATAAACTGCACCAGGGCAAAAGTGAGTTACAGGCTTTGGAAACCAGCCTGGGGATGTCTTCAGTGCACAGAGGCTCTGATACTCTCCTGACAGCGCTTAGTCAAAATCTAGGTGGTATTTCAGGAGAATTTGCCGAATTCAGGAGCTCTTTGTATTGCAAATGGATTTCTCAGGAGGTGTACAGGCTTGCTCTTGCACCACACCCTTTGTCTGATCACCTTAAAGTGTTTCAGGTGTGACAAACTTGCCTTTTGTTGTGGTTAATTTTAATCCTTGATGGCTACAAGAGCTTTCAAAACCTAAGTCCAGACTGGGAGCCTTGGATGAGTAGCACTGTCCTGGGTAAATCCAAGTCCTATTTTCCAGGGGAATCAGGGATCTGATTTGCTCTTTGGTGATAAATGTAGACAGTTTAAAAAAAAAAAAAGGGGGGTGGGAGAGGAAGAAGAAAAGAAAAGGGAGGGGGAAAAAAAAGCCTGAAGTGATGTGCCCAAGGTGATGTGGGCAGAGCAGTAGCAGAGCTCTTCCTCGGCCGCTGATTTCCCTGTGCCCGGGGTCTGTTGTTGCATCGGTGTCGGTGAATGAAGCATCCTGGGAACGGATGCGCCGGTGGCGTTTGCAGGACCCTGCACGTCCGACTGACCTCCGTGACTTCGCCACCTCCGTGTGCTGCCGATGGGTAACCAGGGGCTCGTGTCTCTTTAGAGCTCTGGGCTTTTTTTCTTTTCCAAGCGATTGAATTTGAGCACGGGGAGGGGAGGATTCCTCAGCTCTGATGTAACCGTTAGCAGAACCACGTGGCTTCATACATTTTTGACAAGAAGAGGCCTCCTGGAAGCAAGTTATAAAATTTTCAGTAGCTCTTTTGTCATTGCTTGCCACAGCGGATATTTTCCAGTCAGCTTTTGCTTTTGGGCTCGGGTCCCCGCGAGGCTGGTTTGCGCAGTGGCCTCACGTAGGCTCCAAATGTGAAATCCATTCAACCTCCGTGACTCATTTGCTGTCCCAAGGAGCGGAGGAGGAGGAACCCGGCTCGGGGAAGCGATGAAACGCCGGCGTCGGCACGTCGGGGTCCCGGGCTGGGTGGGGAGGGACGTCCAGCGACTCGCTAAGAGCCCCGACCTCCTCCCCTGCCAGGGCCCCCGCTGCCCTGCACCCCACCAGAGCTAAGGTGGCCCCAGCAACGCTCAGCTCGGTTCACATCCATAGTAGCTGAGATTAAATTAAGGTCACCGTGCTTCCGAAACAATGAACTCGAGGAACAAAAGAGGTTTGTTACGTAGCCATTTGTAAAATAATGCGCTTTTTGTCGTTGTTGTTGTCTTACCAAGAAAAACATCCTCTTCTGCGCGATGGATTTGCCCAAGGTGGAAAAAGGTTGGTTTCCCTGTTGTGTCTTTTCCTAAACAGTTCTTCCTTTCTGCCTTTCTCATAACCCTGAGCAGAACCGGTTTCAGTTGCCCACCTCGAAGCGACACGAGTTTCCTTGCAAGGCAGCATCATTCGCGTTTCTTTTCTGCTCACAGAACATGAACATCCAGGTGGAGGACATAAGGATCCGCGCCATCCTCGCCACCTACCGCAAGCGGGTGCCCGTCACGGAGGGTTACGTGGAGGTGAAGGATGAAGGGACCTGGAAGCAGATCTGCGACAAGCACTGGACCATGAAGAATTCCCGTGTCGTCTGCGGCATGTTTGGATTTCCAAGCGAGAGGAAATACAACATCAACGTCTACAAGTAAGACCAGAGCTTTGTATGAAACACAAGCGTGTTTCTTTGAACACTCGGGGCCTTGTTCAGAAATGCAAATTGTCAAATGACACTGGAGACCTTGAGGGAGAAAAACCTCCCACCGCTTCATTCCTTCAGATCAGGTTTTCCTTCGGTGTGAGGATTTGAAATGTCAAGCATTTCCTGTGCAGACAGGGGAGTTGTTTGATCCTCACCGTTCTGGCTGAAGACCTGGTGCAGCATCACTTGATTGGTCCTATAATAGATGTGGACAGTCAGCCCAAGAAATCTCTTCTTTTTTAAATTTCCCCAGCTATAGGATTGCCATTTCCTCCACCAGTGAGGATGCTTGTGCATCTGAGATGGTGCCTGCAGGATGCAGTTTGGGGCAGTTGTGACTTCGACGCTGCTTTTTCTTCCTGTAACTGTAGATTGCTTTAAAATGAGGGAAGAAAACAGCGATCCATAGGGAGAACACAGTGTTTTTCAGAGCTGTAAGCTGATCGGTTCAGGCTGCGTTTCCTGTTTCTTGAGAGCCAGGAGCTCTGGTCTTTTTTGTTGTCATCACTTCAGCTTGCGTTTTGTCACCAGCCTTCATCACAGACTTGCTTCTTCCTACACCATTCCCTAGAAATAACACCCTAAAGCAGATGCAAAATAGTTTCAGTGAAATCCTGTCTCGTTTCTTTCCTACGCTGTGACCTATGGAGCGGGAAAGCGTCAACCGGTTAGGAGGAGAACTGAATTCTCCAGGCAGGAGTTGTGGTTTTCCTGCCTTGCTCCTTCTGGCCTGTGCGATTGCTATTTCTGAAAGCTCCCTCTGGAACTGGCTGGCCACGTTTCACTCCTTTCATTAGCATGACCGTGATCAATTGAAGGAGGTCCTTGGGTTGGAATAGTGTAAAGCCGCATAGCAGCACAAAGAATATCAAATAAATAACCCAAATGGAATTCTGTTTTCAGGCTTCCCAGGGAGATGAGCAGTGAATTAATAACTCCTGCCAGGCGGTCTCATGTTTTGCCCTGGACACCAGTTAGAGGAGCGTTTGCTCCCATCACTGCAGTGTGTCTCCCTCAGACTCAGCTCTTGAGATTCCCCATCCCCTGCATCAGGGCAGGAGGGCAGAATAAATGACTTCTAGCAAGACGAAGTGGACTTTTCCTGCTTCTCAGTTGCCGTGTTTCCAAGAAAAGCATTAACTTTAGCAGCTGGAGCCATCTGCCTTAAATAAAAGGGTGCTTGGTAATTGTCCTGTCTCTTGCAATATACACGCAGAGATGGAAAAAACTGAGGTCCGGTCGCTCAGCATAATATTCAGCAACGTTGAAAATGATGTTCACCGGAGCGGGAGTGATGCTTATGCAGTGCTTACAGATCCCAGGCTTGGGGATGTCTGCTACCGAGCCAGCCTTAAGTAGCCTCAGTGCCCTAATATCTCCCTCACCTTTGCTGGTTTTTGACGAGCACCAACAGCTCGCTGGGTTCCTGCACCCACAGGAGGGCGGTTTGGAAAACGTGCTGAATGTTATCCCGGGTTGGAAGAAGACGAGATGTTGTTTTATTGGAGGGAAGAGGCTTGTAAAACTTTGTCAGCTAGACAGTTTTGTGCGGTCAGCATAATTTAAAAAGCTGTGTTCTTTCTTGGGGCATGTGCCTTTGTATTTTGTGTTCCTGGCATCACGTACAACCAGTGTTGCTGGTCATCTTCTCAATTCCAGGCTGGGTACCTCACAAGTGATCTTTGCCTCACGATCAAGGTACTGGAAAGACTCTGCTGCTGGGAAAGGGGCTGGAATTGGGGGTTTTCTGGCTGGGGTTGGGGCAAGTGCCCCCTGCCCACATCCCCACCAGCCCCACTCCCCACAAACTGCAGCTTCGCCTGCTGAGCTGGCTGATGCTCCGCTCTGCTCCTGCACAATGGTGAGAGGTGAAATGATTTGCAGATGGATCTCGCTCGAAAGAAAACAACTTAGTTCACTGTTGTCCCGGTGCCAGGGTTTTTATTCCTGAATGTAACTTCGACTCTGCAGCTGACAGCACGATTTATGTTAGGAAATGAAACAAATCTCAATGTTGTTTCCATGTTCTTGTTCATTCTTCAAAGTGGTTTTATATAGGCACCACTTGCTAACTCCTCCTCCCAATTCCTGCTCTGGCTAAGAAAGCAGAGTAGAATTAAATGCCTTTTGCTGATGGGGAGGGTGGGAGTCTGTGACCTGAGATGCCTGAGGCAGGGAGATTGATCCGATGCCTTCTCGAGACCTTACAACTTTGTGACTTTTCAAAGAAAAGGATGGAGAAGCTCAGCAGTTCCGGGATAATTCGTTCAGTGTCAGCCCAAACAGCGTCTCCCAGTTTAACCAGTCTGCTCATAGCATTATAAATCCTGTCAGATGTGCAGGGCAGTGAATAACTACAAGTAGAAATCCTCATGGTTTGGGTTGTCCCTAGCAAAGCCAGGAACGTGGGGCTTTGGCAAGTTTGGCTTCTCTTCTGTCCCCCTGAGGCTAAAGACAGCAAACTTATGTGATGAAGGTTCATCTCTCCTCACCAGTAGAAATGATTTGGACTCCAGCTTGACCTGGAATTGGCTAACCTCTCACAGCGTGACTGTTCACTCACACCTCTGATCTAAGCAGCATCGCCCTTGGCTAATACCAAGGCCAGTGCGAGCTGGGTTTCACCTCTTCTGTGCTAAAAAGGAAATAACAAGAATGCCCTGAGTTTCTATCTTTAAAGATCATCCGTATTCTACTTTTTTTTTTAATAGATATGTTTGGTCTAGGGAAACGAGGTGAGGCTTTCTCTGGCTATTTCTCCCCAGCCTACCAAGGGCCGTTAATACCAACCAGATGTCAATGCCTCATGAAATTTCCAGGATGAGGTCATTGTTTGCTATTATAAGGCATCCTCGTAATTACTTCTCTAAGACAGGCTGTGTTTCTTGTCTGCTTTGGAGTTCAAGGGCCCTCTGTGAGAATATTCCTTCAGGCTCTCACCTCCATACTGGCTGAAAGGGTGGTGGCCCAGAGCTGGCTCATGCTGGGAAAGGATGGAGTAACTTTGCAGTAGTTGAATTAAAAGGAAGAAAACTCTAAAAGCTTTGATGCAAATCAAAGCAGCTATTTTAGCTGAGAAGCTGCTGGCATTTTCTGCCTGCATCCTCCAGGTTTTTACTTTTTTTTTTTTAGAAAAAAATTTATTCTCCCGCACAGCCTTTACTCCCCACCGTGTGATGCAACTGCATCTCTGTCTCCAGCCTGGCTGTATTTGCCCTAACCTCAACCCAGAGAAATTTGGTTCCAGGAAGGATTAGTCAGTGGCTGTGAGCCTGGACAACTGCTGAGCTTGTCAGCAAAGCTTAGCAAGAGGAAGGGGAGAAGGTAGTTCTCCCAAGCATCTGAAATGGTGCAAATTAGCCCACAAGGGCATCAGTTGGGAAAACCTTGACCTCTGTCCAGTTTAGCTTCAAACCAACAACCTATGAAAGTCTCTTTGTCCCTTTACCAGGCCCTGCTCAGGCTCTCCGTCCCGCAGGGACACGCTACAGTTAATCAGAGTTGGGGATGTTTCTCCCAATGAGTTCCACCCACCTTGCCACGCCAGTTATGGCAGCTAAGCCTTGTGCCACCAGGGCTGCGTGGCAGCCAGTCCTGGAGCGAGGAGCAGCCCGGGGATCTTGCAGAGCCACGTCGAGATCACAGCAGGGCGTTGGCTCCTTGGTGCCTTATTTTGTATTTTTTAACTCCTAACATCTCCCTTTTGATAATGATCCAACCTCTATTTTCCTGTCATTGACTATTTTAGCTCCAATCCAGCCTTGCAAAGCAGTTAAGCTGAAGATTTACTTTTCTCATTTATCACACGTGCCCCTTCCCCCTGGAGCGCCTCCAGGCAAGTACTACAGCTCGGGAGCAAGAAGCAGAAACTGCTGCCAATCTCCTCTGCTGTGAACATGTCATCAAGGGAATTGCTCGTGCTCTCGGAAATTGCTTTCGGGCTCACGGTTGTTAACGCCGCAGCTTTCGGAGGTGCCGGAGAGCCGTGGCTTTTTCCCGGTGTGCTGTCTTCCCACAGCTCGTAGGTGATGGCCAGCAAAGAGAACGGCTCGTTCGTGGAAAGGTCCCCAGTCCAAACTCGGCAGCTTTTTTGCTGGTAGAAGCAGGCCCTGTTCGTGCACTGCCTTTCGCATCCGCTGATCTCTGACCCCTACGTAACCTCAGGATCTCTTGTGTGTCTCTCCTGCCGGCGCTTGCTCGAGCTGCACTGCTCATTCCTGC